GGGATTCTAACCCACATTCTGTAGTCACAGATCAGAATATAAAGCACTGCACATGGTGTCCCACTCATACAGAAGAGATAGTTCAGGCTTCCTTCCCACAACAGCTCCTCACATTCTCCAAAGAATTGCTCCTGAAAGTCAAGCAAGGCTCTTGGTTTTGGGAAGAAGGCATGAGGACTCTGACAAGATCCCAGAGTGCTCCTGCCTGGTTAGCAATTTCTCAGCTCTGGGAAGGAGGTGGGAAGGCTATAGAACCCTGTCAGAATCCTGTAGGACCCTGTCACACCTCCTTCCCAAAGTCCAACACCTCACTTAGCCAGCTTTTGGAAGGCAGCACAAGTGGGGTTATCAAATTTTGGCCTCCCCAGCCCCCACAACAGGCCAGTGTGTGGCCCGCAAGTCCTGGTATGAAAAGTTGGACTGCCCTACTCTAGTTGTTGATGCAAAAAATGGGGCTCCAGCTGGAAAGGAAACTCAGTGTATACGCCCATGTTATTTTGAGAACCCATGCTGGAGAAACACCACAGAAACCTAACTACCCTTCCATTCAATCAACTGTAGCCAGAAACGAAAAGTAACTTTTTACCAGTACGTAAACTAGGTTCCAACTGTAAAAGGTAAAGGGACCCCTGACCTTTAGGTCCAGTCGCGGATGTCTCTGGGGTTGTGGCACTCATCTTGCTTTACTGGCCGAGGGAGCTGGTGTTTGTCCGCAGACAGCTCATGTGGTCAGCATGACTAAGCCGCTTCTGGCGAACCAGAGCAGCGCATGGAAACGCCATTTATCTCCCCACCAGAGTGGTACCTTCCGGAGCGATCTTAAAATGCTGGCGGGCGGCATTTTAAAATCGCCCCGGACAGCGGAGGACTTCTCCGCTGTCCGGGGCGATTTAAAAGCCCCTGGGAAGGCAGGCAGGGAGGACAAAGACATTTGCCCCCCGCCCTCCTTCAGAAGAGGTCCAGGACCTCTTCTGAAGGCTGGCGGGGGCGAAAGTCTTTGCTCCCCCCCGCCTGCCTTCAAAAGCTGTCCGGCCAAGGCTTCGCGGACCTCTCCGCAAGCGGCGGCAGCGCTGCCGCTGCTTGCGGTGAGTTGCCGGCATGCCGAAGCCTGCGCGCGCTGAGATCAGCGCGCCCAAGCTTCGCGGACCTCTCCGCAAGCAGCGGCAGCGCTGCCGCTGCTTGCGGTGAGTTGCCGGCATGCCGAAGCCTGCGCGCGCTGAGATCCACGCGCCCAGGCTTCGCGGACCTCTCCTGCCTTCAAAAGCCGTCCGTGATAGCAGGAAGCGCTTCCCTGCTATCCCGGACTGCTTTTAAAATGCTGGCGGTGGGGAGCAAAGCCTTTCGGCCCCCGCCAGCCTTTCCTGGACCTCTTCTGAAGGCCGGAGGGGGGGAAGGCTTTGCTCCCCACGCGCTAGCATTAAAAGAGGTCCCCGGGAGAATTTCCCTATGGGCTTTTCGTCTTGCGAAGCAAGCCCATAGGGAAATTCGTTTTGCGAAGCGGCCTCCAAAAACGAGAAAACCCTTTCGTCTAGCGGGTTTTCCGTCTTGCGAGGCGTTTCGTCTTGCGGGGGTACCACTGTACTTGCACTTTCCACATGGCTTTTGAACTGCTAGGTTGGCAGGAGCAGGGACCCAGCAACAGGAGCTCACCCTGTCGCAGGGATTCAAACTGCTGACCTTCTGTTCGGCAAGCCCTAGGCTCAGTGGTTTAGACCACAGCGCCACCAGCATCCCTTATGTTCCAACTGTAAAGGTAAAGGTAAAAGGTACCCTGCCCGTACGGGCCAGTCTTGACAGACTCTAGGGTTTGTGCGCCCATCTCACTCAAGAGGCCGAGGGCCAGCGCTGTCCGAAGACACTTCCGGGTCACGTGGCCAGCGTGACAAGCTGCATCTGGCGAGCCAGCGCAGCACACGGAACGCTGTTTACCTTCCCGCTGGTAAGCGGTCCCTATTTATCTACTTGCACCCGAAGGTGCTTTCGAACTGCTAGGTTGGCAGGCGCTGGGACCGAACAACGGGAGCGCACCCCGCCGCAGGGATTCGAACCGCCGACCTTTCGATCGGCAAGTCCTAGGTGCTGAGGCTTTAACCCACAGCACCACCTGCGTCCCCTGTAGTTACACACAATAGTCATTTAAACAACCATTTAACATGTGTTATTAACAATCTTTGTTAACAAACTTTTAACTAAGCTAAATGTGCTCACAGAAGAATACTGAGAAACGGGATATGAATTCAACAGCTATTTTTTTAAAAAAGAAAAATTTATTAACCATTAGTGAACAGATTCTTATACTCCTTAATTCAGCTCCTAAAAGAAAATTGACATTGTTGAAGTATGCACTTTTTGCCCCTTTAATATAGAATGTTACACTTTGTGAATGAAAAGCAGAATGTTACACTTTGTCAATGAAAATGCTATCTAAATTCTGAACTAATTTAAAATGAGCTAAGTATATAAAAATAATAATCAAACCAAGGTAACATTTGGGTTTCCACAATTATTGCAAGAAAAGCGCATCCACACTCTATTCCTGCTTTCCTATTACATCAAAGCTCTCACCAATGTTAAAAAATCCATCATGTCCATGGACATCGTCATTTGCAAAATAGTAAACTCTTATTTGAATTTGTGTACATTCTACAAACAGAAGCATGTACTGGTCCTCTGGCTATTGCGGGAAGAACATTTGCTTTGAATGATTTGTTGATGCTGAATTATGGGCTCATCAATAACATCATACATTTTGCCCTAAGCATAAAAAATGATGTCCTCCAACATTAGAAATTCTTCTGATTAAGTGACCTACAGCAGTCACTATTATTACTCAACAGCCCACAGGACTTGTAAAAATAGTTGCTAAATCTACAAATTAAACTTCACTAGAGCAATGTGTCAGGTCACAGAAATTCAAAGCAGCTATATTTATCATTTACTGTCATTAACCCAGCTGAAAGGAATTCTTTACTTGAAGCCAGACAGTTGTATTTCAGTTACACCTCTGGCTTGTTTCCACCTTTGCTAACAGTGGCAGATAAAATATTCAAAGGAATGGGGAGAGGGAGGGAGAGAAGAGGGCAAGGGGAAAAGGTTTAACACCTAATATCTTTGCAGCCTTTATAAAGGGATAGGAGGTCAGTACAGATCAGATCACCGTGCCGCAAAGGAAATAATAACTAACAACCAATCTGGAATAATTTTCAATTGAAAAAGGTGGATTAGGATGGATTAACAAGAATGTCCTGGACTGCATGTCACTTAAAACCAAAGTTTAAAATATACAACGGTTTACGGTGAACAAGCAGCAAGCCAATGCCTGCTGCTCAGAAGATCACACTTGACTGCTCCCCAGCCCTTTCCTTCAGTGCACCAGGGAGGAAACAAAACAGAAGCAGGCTTCACATCATGTGCGAGCCCATACTCATAGTTTGCTTTCTCCAAACCAGCCACTGTTTGTTTGCCTTGCCACTCATTGTTTGACTGGAGAACTTGTACCATGAAAAGAACTTGTACCACAAAGTGCCTGTAATTTCAACAGCAAACACCAGCAGGTTGGCCATTCACCTTATTCACAGTATAAATTAAACTATGGTTTACAGCGTCGTACAAACCTGGCCAATACATCTGCATTTGAACATGCCCCAAGGGAGACCCATAGAGTGTCTAAGCAAACTCTACCTCCCTTGCCACTACATACACATATCACGGCAATCTTGTTTCTGGAGAAAAGTGGACTCTAGTACATTAAGCTCCATTAGTGAATAGAAAAGGAGGCATCCCTGCTTCTTTCCAAAATGAAAGAAAGATTACAAAGTTACCCACATAGAAGGAGGCTCATGGTTTTCATTTACCACAGGTGTGAGGGTTCTGTGGCCCTCCAGGTATTGTTTGACTACAGCTCTTATCACCCTTGACCACTGGCCATACTAACTGGATCTGATCGGAGTTGAAGTCACAAAATTCAGAGGCCCAGGTTCCCCAGCTATACTTCACCCCTCTGATCTCTCACAGCTACTCTATTAGGCCCTCTCTTTCCACCAAAAAGAACTTCTTTATCATACACGTTAAACGCATATACTAACAGATCCCATTGGAACCGAAGGAATAAACTTCTGAGATGATGTCCCTTAGGCGCAAACTTAAGTTGGGGAGGCAGAAAGAGGCAGCCAGTGTGTCCTTGGTGGTAAGCAAAAAAGAGCGGGTGGGTGTGATGTGCTACAGGTGAGAAAACCATCACCCCCAAAGAAGCACTGACTCAAGGAAAAGCCGCCCATCCCCTTCTTTCTTAAGTTTCCACAAAAACACAAAAGAGGGGAGATGAGACTATTTCCTCCACATTTCACTATTTCAAGGTTAGGCATGGAGCGGATGAGAAGCAGCAGAGTCATGGCTAGTTAATTCTACATCTGGTGCTGTCCTCCCCCCTCAAAAAAACAACAACCCAAAAACCCCTGGCCCTAACATTTCCCACCCCCGATCTCCTCATTTCTCAACCGTGTGCAGAATTACAGGGCCATGCCAACCAGCTCCTCTTAAGGAAACCTGACAGGGCAAGTTTCCTTAAGGGGGGTGGTCTCTGCTTCCTGACCCCTTTGGCCCGCATGCACACCCCCCCTCAATAAACAGCTACACGCCGGGGAGAAGCGCTGGTTTCTTTTGAGGTGGTGAGGGGGTCAAAGGGACCACCAAGGAACGAATCGTGGGGGGGGGGGATTTGAAAGAGAGCAGCCCTCCTCTCCACCTGCCCCCTCTCTTTAAACCTCAAGATTTGAGGCTGGGGGGGGGGGGGTTGGATGAAGCGTTGCCAGGCGACAAGGCGAAAACGGAGGCCGACCAAGGTCGAGAGCCTCAAAACTTGCCGCCGTGCGCGCTCTCGAACCCAACCCCCCCCCAAGCCTTCCTATGGGTCGAGGGGGCGGCTAGCGGGGATTTCCCCCCCCCCCGACTGTGGGGCCTGGATTCTCAAGGAGGGCCGCTTGGGAAAGGGGGTCACTCACCACCAGGGCCGCCGCCGCCGAGGCTCCTCCCGGCCTCAGGCCCCGCGGAAGGGAGCAGCTCGAGCATGAGGGGCCGGGTGTCCTCCCTCCGTCACCACCGGCTCGCCCTCGCCCTCTCCTCCTCCTCCTCCTCCTCGGCCCAGCGGGGAGGGAGCGGAAATGTCACCGCAGGGAGGGAAGGAGAGAGGCCGCTGGGCTCGCCTCGGCTCCGGCTCCCTTCGGCGTCACTTCCGGCGGCGGCTTCGTCGACGGAGGGGGAAAGGCGAAGAGGGAGGCGGCGGGGAAGAGCGGCTGACGCAAGGGCGCGCGCGCCGCGGCAGCGCCGCCTAGCGGCTCCCGGGGGCTCGCGCGCGCGCGCATTGGGCGGGAGAGCGGAGCCCCTCGCGCGCCTCCAACGAGTTTCCCTCAGGGAGGGCGAAATTGGCGCGCTTTTCCCAACGGCCGCTGACAGGAGTGAAAAGGTTCATTGCTAATCGCAACACAAATGAAATGAAATAAGATAACGCACGTCAAAAGTTACAAAAGCACACCCGAGCATTAATCACAAGGTTCTGCAATTGGAAAAAAAAACTGCATGTATCTATACCTACATACACATACGTGTGTGTGTGTGTGTGTGTGTGTGTACACACACTGATTTCCTTCAGAATGGATAGGTTTGAGAGTCCATGGGCCTCTCAAGAGTCTCCTCCAGCACCATAATTCAAAAGCATCAATTCTTCGGCGGTCAGCCTTCTTTATGGTCCAGCTCTCACTTCCATACATCACTACTGGGAAAACCATAGCTTTAACTATACAGACTTTGTTGGCAAGGTGATGTCTCTGCTTTTTAAGATGCTGTCTAGATTTGCCATCGCCTTTCTCCCAAGGAGCAGGCGTCTTTTAATTTCGTGGCTGCTGTCACCATCTGCAGTGATCATGGAGCCCAAGAAAGTAAAATCTCTCACTGCCTCCATTTCTTCCCCTTCTATTTGCCAGGAGGTGATGGGACCAGTGGCCATGATCTTCGTTTTTGTGATGTTGAGCTTCAGACCATATTTTGCACTCTCCTCTTTCACTCTCATTAAAAGGTTCTTTAATTCCTCCTCACTTTCTGCCATCAATGTTGTGTCATCTGCATATCTTTGGGACAAAATGGTAAATTTAAAGTAATCACTCGTAGCCCACCTGGCACAGAAGACCCCAGGCAGACTTCAGCTCTGGTCAGCTTGATCCCCATCAGCTCCCCAAAGATGTAGGCGGGAGTGGGCAAGAGAGAAATGGAACTGGTTGTTTCTAGGTGCCATTTTAGTTAAAGTTCTAAAGTTTTAATTTTTTAAATATTTTATTAAGTTTCCATTTTATAATATATAGACCTAACAGAGGCAGAAGACATCAAGAAGAGGTGGCAAGAATACACAGAGGAATTATACCAGAAAGATATGGATGTCTTGTACACCCCAGGTAGTGTGGTTGCTGACCTTGAGCCAGACATCCTGGAGAGTGAAGTCAAATGGGCCTTAGAAAGCACTGCCAGTGGAAATGATGATATTCCTGCTTTTTTAACTTATATGCAGAATTCATCGTGCGAAAGGCTGGGCTGGATGAATCCCAAGCCGGAATTAAGATTGCCGGAAGAAATATCAACAACCTCAGATATGCAGAAGACCGTGATCACTGCAAATGACAAACCTAGACAGTAGTGAATATATAGATACATCCTCATTACTCACATTGCTTTTTGCTCATTTGAGCTGATCGACACCCCCCCCCCCCCGATTCATGGTTACCTTAATTCTTTACTATATCATCACATTTGTACTTTTTCCTAATTACTTTTCCCATTACCATTGTCATATTATTTAAATAAAATGTAAAAAGGTAGAATCATCAACATTACAAGTCTTCTTAAGTCTATCCTGATAGTGTTGTTAAATGTTTACAATTGTCTTTCAAGTATTGTATAAATTTACAGTACCCCAGTCTTTTTGGAAAGCTTGATCACACTGGTTTCGGATTTTCCCGGTCAGCTTCCTAAAGTTAATCAAACCTTGAATGGTTTCTGCTCCTGTATACAATATGAGTACCGCCTGGAGGGCAGCAGTCAAATCAGATTGTTACACATACTGATTGTAAACGACGGTTCAGAAATGATGTTTTATTGTTCGTTCTCATGGAGGAAATAGAGAGAAATGTATGCAAAACACAAAGCTGTACATTTTTAAAAATAAAAAAAGGTGGAGAAAGGGAAGTGAAGGAAAGATGACAAAGGCCACATGAACATAAGAAAGATATACCAAGAGCCACAGAATTTACAATATAGAACTGCCCTTTTGTTTCTGCACCAAGGTCATTGGGAAAAGTGACGTTTGGTAGATAAAGGGACCGAAAGTGCTGTCATATCCACCTTTGCTGAAACCTCGGCCTCAAGAGCTTCCTAGAAAAGGGAGAGAAAAGTCAGCACCAATATTCGGATGGGAGTTAAGACACCCTCCCCAATACAGAAACATGGTATGGTATGGCAACGTACCATACAGATGCTTCCCACAAGCTGAAACCGACCAAAAAAGGAAATTGGGATGACAGGTATCCTTAATCCCATAGATTTATATCCCGCTTTTTAAAAGCATGTTCTCGCAAAGCGGCAAACATGATACACAAAGCAAACACCAACCAACAATACGATAAAAAATGATTGGACATTCAAAACCCTTAACAGAGACAGGACGGTCAAGCCAACGTAGTGAAGGAAACAGAATAGGTCAGAATGAAAAGATTTTAGATGTCGTTGAACGCAGCATGGCCACTGGTCAGGGATGATCTAGTACACAACACCTAAGAGGGTTTTTGTGGGGATTAAATGAGGAGGGGGAGGACCATGTACACCACCTTCAGCTTCTTGGAGAAAAAGGTGGGTTATAAATTTAACAAGTAATAAATAAATGTGAAAAGGAGGAATGGTTGACAGGCCTTAGATTTGCACTTGAACCTCTCTCTGCATTGCTTGATGTGCAGAGATAAGGACAAAGCACTTTAGAGGAAGGCAGAGATGGGCAATGGCTTGAGCATGGGTAGGCAAACTAAGGCCCGGGGGCCGGATCCGGCCCAATCGCCTTCTAAATCCGGCCTGTGGATAGTCTGGGAATCAGCAGGTTTTTCCATGAGTAGAATGTGTCCTTTTATTGAAAATGCACCTCTGGGTTATTTGTGGGGCCTGCCTGGTGTTTTTCCATGAGTAGAATGTATGCTTTTATTTAAAATGCATCTCTGGGTTATTTGTGGGGCATAGGAATTCATTCACTTTTCCCCTCAAAATATAGTCTGGCCCCCACAAGGTCTGAGGGACAGTGGACCGGCCCCCTGCTGAAAAAGTTTGCTGACCCCTAGCCTTGAGCTTATGTAGGGAGGTGGCAATTTCTTGTGCTGCCTTTAGGACAGAAGAGGTCTGGCCCACCCTACCCAGTTTCTCCACCCCTCCAAAATATCCCCGGACAAGAAAAATGCACCAAAATAGCCCAGAAGATCAGCCTGTCCACCGGTGCAACTAAGAGAACATATTAATACCAACAAAAGCACCTACCAGCTCCCTCTTTGCTTCTTCAATCTTCACTCGTGCGAGAGAAGGACTCTGAAAAGAGCAGTAGAAAGCTATTTAGGCAGACATAGGGGTTTTCCACACTCCCGTCTGAATTTTTGAAATCAAGCAAAAAGTCTATGGAGGTATTGCTGCCCCCCAAAAAACTTTAAAAAGAGAGTTTTTAAAGTGCATTTGTTCAGCACACACTCCAGTGCCATCAGAAATCATTCCATGAAATGGAGACGGATAGGCAATGAAGAAGAGTGAGTTTCGAACAAAGATACTTCAGTGTCCAGCAGCAATCTGAAGGTTTCTTGACCCCTGAAACAACCCTACCCACCTTCCTTCTTGCCACTTATGTCTGTAACTGACCACCAGAAGGGCCGCAACTGTTGACTGGAGCAACATTTGCAGACATTTATTTAAAAACAAGAATAATAGCGTGCATACACCATATTTTTCGCTCTATAAGACACACTTTTCCCCCTTCAAAAATTAAGGGGAGATGTGTGTGCGTCTTATGGAGCGAATGCAGGCTGCTTGGCTTCAGCGATAGCAATGCAAAGCCTCTGAAGCGCAGAGGGAGAGCTACCCCCGTGCTCCGGAGTCTTCGCGTTGCTTTCGCTGAAGCCGCCTGAAGCCCCCGGAGCACAGCGGGAACCCCCGATGCACGCCGGGGGCTTCAGGCCGCTACCCGCAAGCCTTCTGAGCGCAGCAGGAGTTCCCGCTGCGCTCCAAAGGCTTGCGGATAGCCGCCTGAAGCCTGGAGAGCGAGAGGGGTCGGTGCACACCGATCCCTCTTGCTCTCCAGGCTTCGCTTAGCTGGAGAGGCACTGCACAGTTTTCCCTCTCTGCGCAGCGCCCCTTCAGCGAAGCAGGAGGAGAAATGGAAGGGGCTCCGTTTCTCCTGCCGCTTCGCTGAAGGGGCGCTGAGCAGAGAGGGGGAGAATTTTTCCCCCCCCTGTTCTCCCCCTCCTATGGTCCGGTGCGTCCTATAGAGCGAAAAATACGGTATGTGCAAGTGCTGTAGAAATAATAGCAATTCTATAGCCTTGGCAGCAAAGAAAGCTCCGCAATCATGTTTTAAGCTCCTTTCAAATGCCAGCTAACCCATAACCCTCATGTCAGGCTGAACTTCCAAAAGCCAACTGAGCCAAGGGATACATGCCAATATTTTAAACTAGCCCTTGGGGAATCTGGTGCTTTCCTGGCGTTTTGGGCTGCAGCTCCCAGAATCCTTGTCAATTGGCACCACATTGGGGAACTCTTCTGGAAGTTGAGCTACAATTCTAGGATTCTACAGTTCTAAGAGAAGCGTGGTACGGGAGATTACAGGGGTCAGGTCCAGATACGACTCCAGTTTCTTCTTCAAAGGTACTGCCTGCTTCTTTAATTCCGCTAGATTCTGTGGATGGAAACACAAAACAAACCATTCACACAGTGGCTCCGTCTTTCTCCCACCAGAAAGAAAGAAAGAAATGCAAGATTTGGGTGAGTGCTTTTTAGCCTCACGATCTGCAATAAACCACACTTCAAAGCCGTCTGCAAAATAAGCATGCCTAACACACGGGACATGGGTGGCGCTGTGGTCTAAACCACAGAGCCTAGGGCTTGCTGATCGGAAGGTGACGGGGTGAGCTCCGTTGCTCGGTCCCTGCTCCTGCCAACCCAGCAGTTCGAAAGCACCTCAAAGT